ATTAAAAGGATGATTTTGAATCTATGTCCTGTTCTCAGTCAGTGACAAACTGGGGACTGTATTGTAAGCTTAGAATGTGTTACGGTTTGCCTCAGTAGCAAAATGCTGCAGTGACGTGCCGTGCAGAGTCTAAGGCCCGTGTGCACCTGCCAGTCTGTTAGTGCCATGGCCTCAAACAGTTTAGTGTAGACTTTACCCTCTTGGCACAGTGCAGAGTGCCCACACTTAAGGACTGAGCTTCTTCCTGCCCTGACCAGTCAGAAGCCATTCTTTACATCCAGGTGGCCCTGCTCTGTTCCCTTTAGTCATTCTTCCCACCCAACAGCTGGCCATTCACACTGCAGAAAAAACAGTAAAGAAGGCTGATGGCATGTCATTGAAGTGCAAGCCATCATCTTTGGTATAACCTGGATGCATCCATTTTGACAAATTCATGAGAAATACAACAGAATATATATAATACTGCAACCATAGCTTTAAGGCCTGAGAAATTTGTATATTACATTTTAATCGGTTATACATTTAAGCCTGTGTAACTGATAAATAATCGAAACGAAACAAAAAAGTTCAAGTTTTATTGTCAGAATTTGTAGTCATGATTTTGAATGAGGATCCATGGGCTTCACCAAACTAAAAATGGATCCATCTCAAAGAGGTTGAAGCCTCTTTGAGAATGAGGGATGCAGGCCTTGAGCCTGGCCCGCATTCTCCTGTGACATGCTCAGCTTCAGATGTTCAGTCCAGCTGCCCTAAGAAACGTCCTTTGAATCCATGCTTCTTCAGGGTTTATAGAAATGGCTGCAGGAGTCCAAGAGGTTGAGGGGAAAGTTTATTTGATACCTATGGAATTAGAAAACTCAAACCCACACAGGATCTATTGCAAGATTAAAATGTCCCTGAATTTAGGGCACATATCTGTCCTTATGTGTGTGTTCTTGTTGACCCAGGAAGTGTTCAATTGTCCTGTTGGATTAAGGAGAGCTACAGGGAAATGAAAAAAACCAGCAACAGGAAAATCATTCATGTGACGGTCCAGTCAGATAACTCACTCCCACAGAGGAATGGTCCCAGATCAGTTGGGACAGATTGATTTTTAATGAGCACCAGGCACTCAGGTCACTCCCACAGAGGAATGGTCCCAGATCAGTTGGGACAGATTGATTTTTAATGAGCACCAGGCACTCAGGTGTAGAAGCAGGTTGGATGTGTAAAAACATGAGTGCTAGTAGCAAGATAGTTCCATATTCACACTAAATCAACAAATTATTAACCATTGGCTTTAGTTGTGTGTTGGGTTTTGTAGAGTAGATTCCATTTAATGGTAATGCAGATTTTTGTTTATTTTTGTGAGTAGTTCAGCATGCATTCAAACATGTAATTCTCCTGTTAGTCTCCAGAGTCCCTGGAATTTCAGGAACTGTCGCTCCCTGCTTGTGTTTTCACTTTTAGTTACGGAAAGGCTCTACACTTAAGACATTACATATTTTTTCAAGTGCACATAAAAATAATGTAAGCCCCAGCAGGTGTGCTGCACACCTCTGACCCCAGTGCTCAGAGGCTGAGCAGTCACCAATTCTAGGCCAGTCTGGATTGGACAGCAAGACCCTATTTCGAAACCCAAGCAAAAATATCTTAGTATTTGAGTACTGACTTTATTTTACACTTGTAAGAGGTCCGTGGGCATGTGAGATGCATTGCTACTATAGTGCAGAAGCAACCTCAACAAACAAGTGCAGACAGGAACACATGCTTTCTGCCATTTTAGTCCTGTCATTTTAAAGGAGAACACTTACATAGTTTTCAAAATACATTTAAAATAAATTTAGGAGAGTTCTTTCTAAATTAAATGACAAGATGAATGGAAGTTCTAATAACTTCCACTACTGTCATAGGAAATTTTTAAGGGGTCTGGTTTATATTGCATACAGATTCCCCTTTTTCATTTAATACTGATGAAGTTTGAGGCCTCTGGTCCTGTTTAAAGGAAACATGACATTTCAGCTCATTAAAATAGAAAGTAACTTCCTCCCACAGCTTTATATTCCCATCAGGAGACTGAGAACCTTTGACATAAAGCTGACGTGCATGATTTGTGTATACGTGTTTATATAAAACATACATATCCTATGAAGCCAAGAATCTTGGCAGATTTTGTAGAAATAAGAAACTAACCAGTATTTCCTATGGTTTAGTTTCCTTACACTCTTCTCATTCTTAAGTACACAAAGCTTCAAGACAGACTTATTGCTCATCGAAATGAATTGCACACGTCTTTATGCCTTACAAACTGTACTGTTACTGTTTTTGCTAGGACCTTTTGATGATGGAGCAAGTAAAAGACTTTGCTGCTAATGTGTACGAAGCTTTTAGTACCCCCCAACAACTGGAGAAATGACTGTCTTCCTTTGAGAAAAGCTAGCGCGGGAGTCATCTACATTAAAAAGTACTGAAGTCACCTATACCAGAAGTGACAGTTTGCAACCAAAATGCCTAATAAAGTATGTTCTTAAGCAAAGTTATTTCATAATGAAGTAGATTCATTTGGCACCTTACTGTATCTTTAACTCATCAACAGTCTACTTCATCAGGTGTATCTCACTGGTGCACAGACTACAAACGTCAGGCTCATCCATGATCTGTTACAACCTGGAAAGCAGATCCAAACCAAATAGATAATTTTATACGTACATGTAATGGAGTGTGGTGTCCTTTCACACATAAAATGAGGGGAAATCTGTCTTGAGAAGTAGATCTAGGATGTGTGAACTCTGAAAATATACTGTTTAACTAATCATGAAGTTTCCTGGAATCTGAAGTAAGCGAGAGCAGACCGGATTCTCTCCAGTCAATGATTTGTCTTCACAGACCTTGACAGAGGGCTCATCTTCTAGAAATCAGTGGATTTTAACACCTCTGATCAACTTTTTTCCTTTGCTATATTTTCTTCACTATTTATTTGCAGCATTTTCTAAAGCTTTCTTAGCAGCCCTCAAAATCTGCAGGTTCATGTTATGTTCATGTTTACTCACAATTATTAATTACAGAGTTGTTCATTTGTGTATAAATCATTTTAATAACTTTGTATTGATTTTGAGTACAATAACCTGTTGCAATAAACTATTTTAATACAATATAGTTTTGTTCAGTTAATACTTTTCAGCCATTAATTTATTTGTTAGCTGGTAATAAAGAGAGCATGCTAGTTTTAAGTTTTAACTAGTATACAGTTGGTGCTTTCTTCTGTTTTTTCCAGAAAAAAAATGTAAATAAAAGTAAATTATTCCTTGTCTCTAGTATACCTGTGGTTCTTCCTTTAGAGGGGCATGAAGGCAGAACTGACTGCATCAAGTATCAGCAGTGGATTAGCTAAGCCCAGTAATGGACTGACTGCAGAACAGAGTTGTCTGTCCTTCCCACATAATATAACATAGCTGAGCAGGAGATGGTAGAAAATGAATTGTGAAGGGCTTCCTAAAGCCTAACTGAGCTCTATAACGAAACAACCGTGTATAAAGATGTCGGAGGGGACACATCTTTAAAATTTGATAAGACATACTGATATTCTCCTTTCTAGTTAAGAAAAATGCATTCTGGAACCTTAGAAATGTGTATGTGGAGTAGGGCATGCATCTCTTCCAGAAATGCCCCGGGTTTGCACCAGGAAAACTTTAAAATTGTGCACAAAATTATCTGAAGAGTCAAGACCATGGAAGAGGTGGCACGGTTTAAAAGAAAGGAAATAAATTAAGCTGTGTGTAAAGAACTGGCACTGCAGATTACTAATTTGCTTCTGTTAGTGTTGGAACAGTCTGGCTAACCTAGAAAGTAATTTAAAACAGGTTATCATAAACCCTTAGACATTTTAACTTAAAATCCAAACACTCTTAATTAGCAAATATTTCCCCTAGTGTCTCGTCTCACTTTTCAAGTACATCTACTGATTATACTTCCCCATATCTTAGTACTATTAGTACTGTTTCACTTACATTAAACAAATAGGGTTTTTTTTTAATTATTTTAAATTTTTTTGTTTAAAGGCAACACTCGTTCATCTAGTCATCCCAGAGTCAGCTTAGCTGCCAAGGAAGCTGCAGCTCTCCAGTCACTGTCTTGCACAGTCAGGATAATAAGATGTTCCACTGGCAAAATTCATTTGTATCGCTCTCCTAGGGCTGCTGTAACAGATTGTTAATTGGGTTACTTGAAACATCAAAACTTTTTTTTTCTCTCACTTGTGGTGTGAAATCTAACACCAAGATATCCCAGGATTATTCCTCTCTGAAGGCTGTGGGGAAAATCCTTGAGTGCTTTGCTTGCCTCCATTAGATTCTGGTGGTGCCATCCCTTCGTAGAAATACAACCCTAACTCTGTGTCTGTGCCCTTTTCAAAGTTCTAAGGATAGTGTCCATCCTCCATCCAATATGAGCTGCCTTCAAAACTTCATTATATTAATAAAGATTTCATTTCCAAGATCATGTTTTAGAGGTTTGAGAGGGACATTGCAGCCACGTAACTAATCTTTGGTTAACACTACCCACGGGAGAAGTGCAGGGTGTGCCACTCATGGAAAACCTTTGCTTATCCTAGACAATGGTCAGCAGGAAAGAGCATCAGCTAATAGTGCGTTGGCTAAGTGGACTTTAAGTTGCTTCTACTTGTTTCCCCGTTAAGACCTAATAACTATACTTGATATTACACATGTATAAAACTTTGAAAGGCATTTACTTCACTTGGAAATAAGGCTGGAAAATTTTTATCTAGTAGTGTTTTTAACTTAGCAAAAGTAAAATGAAGTTTTTCCTAATTCATAACTGAGTACTCTGACCCTTTAGGACCATTGTGTTGCCTCTGTATGGCACTCATAAGAAAATGAGATAAATTCATCTATTTCGTTTGTTAAAGCCAGCATCAGTCCCTATTTTATTCAACCCAGTAATCTAGTTTGGTTTGCCTTCAATATCTAGGTAGTAAGCCCCACAAAAAGACCACCAGTCACGTATGCAATCAACAAGAATGTTTAATTTGAGAATAAAAATGCCTGCATGCAGGTTTGTCTGGGGGCTGATTGGTGGGTTTAAACACAAAGTTTATAGGTTGTATAGGATTGGTTGGTGGCTCAGTGGTTAGGTACTTTCCAGCAGCAGGGTGGGAGAAGCTATTTTTAGCTATCTCGAGCTTCCATAATGCTGCAGAGCGCTTACTGCTTGGTTATATCAGAGCTGTGGTCTTTCCAAGAACTGCTTGTTCAATTCCAGTAAGCCGAAACTGGCCTGGTCCCTGGCACGCCTGGAGTCTGTCATGGCATTGGTTTGGTTCCTTGGCTCTCTCAACAGAGCTAATGGTGCACAAGCGTTTATCTTTCAGCTTCCTGACGAGTCCACCTGTGTGAAAGCCAAAGTTTTAAGTTTTAAATGGTATGCCTAAGAGAGCCACGAAACAAAAAGCCTCTGTTCTGCAAGCCCCCGGCCCAAGGACAGATGGTTCCTGAAATGCTGGAGGCTGTTGTTTCCGGGAGATAACAAGCCACACGTTTTTTCACTCTCCTAAATAAGTTTGTTGGACCCATCTGCAATTTATGTGCTTGATCACAGGTGGGTGGGATGTTTGAGAGCAGGAAATGCATCAGGATATATGCTTGCGGATGATTGGATGTAGGCAGGAGGCGTGCAAGCAAGAAGTAGATTGGGATGTATGCTTGCTCCTGATTGGACCTCATAGGAAACACAGGGAATTGTGGGTTACAGGGTTTCTCTGTGTAACAATCCTGGCTGTCCTAGAACTCACTTTGTAGACCAGGCTAAGCTCGAACTCAAATCTGCCTGCCTCTGCCTCCCAAGTGCTGATATTAAACCTTGTGGGTTTTGCTGTTTTAAAACCCTGCAAAACATTTCTGGGGGTCATTTCCTGGGAACCTCGGTATGGACCTGGCTAGAACCTATCTACCTGGCCGTTATTTAAATTTGCTTCAAATTTGACGTTAAGATGTGGTAATGGTCTTATTCTTGACTGGTGGGATCTGCTTCACTCTTCTGCCCCCATGTTTTCCCCACGTTGATGGGCTGAACCCTTAAACCGTGAGCCATAAAAACCCCTTAAGTGGCTTTTGTTAGGTATTCAAAGCCAGACAAAAAGGTCTACAGAAAACTGTTACTGAGAAGTGTGGCCTTTGATATAAGAAACTTCACCATGTGGTTCATAGACCTTCAGAACTGGTTTGCAGGGGTTTACTGTAGAGTTTGCTTCCTGCTGAACAAACACTAGATATAGGGCATGCATAGTTAGGACTTAAGGAGCCAGTGTACTGGGAATTCAGAAAGTCAGAATGCCAAGACGAGTATAATGACGTCCCAACTCAGACTTCAGATGGGATGAAGATTCTTAGGAAGCAAAGTCCCCCTTTGCTACTTTCTGCTTGGGGTCTGAAAATATAAGTGGAGCTGAATTCTAAAGTAATGAAAACTTTGGCAGAGAAAACCTTAAGAGATCGGAACAGCAACTGTGGCGGGTTATTGCTGCTCTGAACTCTATAGTCAGAGCAGAATGGTAAACAAAACTCAGTTTAGTGAGGAATGAATTTAAAGCTTCAGACAGGGCAGGTATGAAGAAATTCACTGCAATTGTTACGTTTTGTACTATCAAATTGCACCCTCTGTGCTGCTATCTATATCAGTGTCCTGAGGGCAGGGCTCCACCTATCAAGGACTCCAACCTGTGAAAGTACAAGTTAATTTGAAAGGTGACAGCCTATACTTAGAACGAACGACCTTAAAGGGCTTCTCTATAATAAAACAAACAAACAAAAATCCAGGTTCAGACACCAAGGTAAGAAGAGGCCACCAGAGATGGGGCAGAAAGAAGCCAGACTATTCTAGAACAAACAGCAACATCCATACGATTTTTCCAAACATGCCAAATGCAAGTGTTAGGAAGTCATGGAGGCTTGCAGCACAGTTCCAGAAAGCTTCTAAGGTTCTAAGGCCTGGCAGTGTGTGGCAGTATTGGATTTCTTTCAAGAAGACCTTGAAAGAGCCACTGAAGACCATTGCTTGCAGTTGTAAAAGTGAAGTCTTTCTGGTAATAGAAACCTCAAGATGTTGGAGATGTCAGCTACAAGGGACACCGAGTGAGGAAAGCTACAACTTGGAAGTAGAGTTAGACTGTGCGACAGGCTACAAGGGCTACAGTGATGAAACTCAAGGGACAGGGATACACAAGGCTGCTGGAGCCATGTGATGATATTAAAATCCTCAGATGCTGAACGTAGAGCTTCATGATTGGACAGTTCCCAATGCTGGGTTCCAGTTTTACTCTGACCCAATCTTTCCTTACCATACCCCATTCATCCCTTTTAAAACACGGATGTTCTCCGTCTTGTATGCTGGAAATCTGTAACTTGGTTTTTGATTATATACTTGTTGCAGAATATTTGTTTAACTATGTAAAGATGTGTTGCATTTGTTTAATTATGTAAAGATGTGTTGTTCTTTTACCTCGCCTGTCTATGGTCTAAGAAAAAGCTGAATGGCCAATGCAAGGGGAGAGGCATGAAGAGTAAGAAGGAGCTAGCTTTCATTCCTCCAAGTCATTGTTACTTTTAGTGATGGATCTCTTACTGGCAACAAGTCTTAGTTTGCTGTTATCAGTAGTGCCTTCAGTAAATTATTTACAACCAAAAAAAAAAAAAAGAGTAAGAAGGAGGAATTTAGGATAAAAAAGAAAGAAAAGGAGATGACAGGGAGATGGCAGGAGGCAAACAGACAGATACAGAAGAGGCGAGAAAGTAGGACATACAGAATGAAAGAAGGGTAAAAGGCCCCATGGCAAAATGTAGATCAGTAGAAACAGGTTAAATTGAGTTAAAAGAGCTAGTGAGACAAGCCTAAGCTAAGGCTGAGCATTCATAATTAAAATAAATCTCTTTATTTATTTTTATGTCTTTATGTCTTTATTTGAGAGCTGCTTAGCAGCCCAAGGAAAATTCCAACTACACAGAGTAGTTCATAGTTAAACAATATTGCCTTGAGTCTTGGAAGAGGTTGTCAGCTTTGGATTTTGAAGAGCGCTGAAACTGGTAAGACTATGGAAATTTCTAAAATTTGGGCTGAGTGCATTGCAGCCTGTATTGTAAGCCATGAACATATGGGGATGTGTAAATTTCCTCAGATATTGAAACATTCCATCCCTTAGAAAGTTCCTTAGGCAGGAAAGTGAACAACTCATAATAGCTTCAGGAAATTCCTGAAACTGACAGGTTCAAGCTTATACCCAGATTTCAAAACTCACCAATCCCTGGGCTTGCCCAAACTCAGGACTTGAAATCCCACCAATCCCCCCCCCACCCCGGGAATTTCTACCCTAGAGAGCTCTACCCCGAAGAAATGCCTTAGAAGCCTGTCTCCTGCTTAAGTCCCTCCCTGCCCTTCTCACTTGAACAGAGGCAGTCACCCTTCTGTCTTCCCCAATAAATCTCCTACATGAAGTTTGTTGTACAACGTGACTTTGTGGTATTCCTTGGCTCCTGACTGCCAGAATATCTTCCCCTTCAGAGCTGCAATGTTTCCATTTGGGGAAACCTTCCCCTCAAATGGGTTTCCTACATGGGGTAAATGGGCATGTTATCACACAACAGGGGACGAGGGATGGAATGTCAGGGTTAAAAGCAGTGTATTTGTTTGTCAAGTTACAAGGAGTATACAGTGATGGTTAATTTTCCTTGTCAATCTAACTGGGTTTGAAACCATCTAGAGGCATGCTTCTGGACATACCTGTGAGGACATTTACAAAGAGATTCAACTTCAGTAGAAAGACTTACCCTCCATGTAGGTAACACCATTCCATGGTCTGGGTCCAACTAAAAATAAAAAGAGGGAAAAGGAAAAAGCAAGTGTTGCCCAAACTTTCATTTCTCTTCATCCTGACTTGCAGAGGATCAGTTGTCTCATGCCCCGGCTGCATGGTTTCCACCATGATGACTGTTGTAACCTCAAACCACAAGCCAAAAATGAATGCTGCTTTCTCTATATTGTTTTGTAAGGTGTGTAATCACCGCAGTGAGGAAACAGCTAATATATGCACTCATCTGCTAATTGCTTTGTTAGGCATCTTACTTTCTCCTTTCCTCTTCAACTGTATCAGGTAAAGATGAGAAGCCTAAAAATTTAAGCAGTTCACATTTTTCCCCTCTCAAAACACTTTTTCAAACGGATGACTCAACACCTGTAGTAAGATTCTTACAACTAGAAGCCGGGCGGTGGTGGCGCACACCTTTAATCCCAGCACTCAGGAGGCAGAGGCAGGCGGATCTCTGTGAGTTCGAGACCAGCCTGGTCTACAAGAGCTAGTTCCAGAACAGGCTCCAAAACCACAGAGAAACCCTATCTCGAAAAACCAAAAAAAAAAAAAAAAAAAGATTCGGATTTTGGTTTTGTTCCTTTTTTTAAATTTGGGTTTGTTTGTTTGTTTTGTCTAGAATTTAATCATTTAAACCTACACATATGGTTCTCTAGTAAAATATCTGAATTTTTTTTTACATGGCGATTTTGGCATAGTTTTGAATAATTGATAGTAGCAGCCAGGTATGGTGGGAAACACCAATATTCCCTGCTACTTGGAGGCTGAGCAGTAAGAATACTTGAGCCCCAAAATTTTGAGTCCAGTCTGGACAACATAGTGAGTCTTGTCTCAAAAGGAAATAAAAACAATAGTTGCAAGATCTTCAGCAATGGATAATGTTATGGAATATTAGTTTAAGATGTTTTACATTTGTTCATGCTGCAGAATATTTGTTTAATGATGCAAAGATGGCTGGGTGGTGGTGGTGCACACCTTTAATCCCAGCACTCAGGAGGCAAAGGCAGGTGGATCTCTGTGAGCTCAAGGCCAGCCTGGTCTACGGAGTGAGTTCCAGGACAGTTAAGGCAAAAAAAAAAAAAAAAAAAAAAAAAAACCCTATCTTGAAAAAAAACAAAAGAACAATAACAACAAAATGATCCAAAAATGTGTTGCATTATTTTATGTTTTATTTGTTTAAATTTGTAAAGTGTGTTACTTGCCTACCTAAAACACTTGCTTGGTCTAATAAAGAGCTAAATGGCCAGTACCTAGGCAAGAGAGGGATAGGCAAGGCTGTCAGGCAAAGAGAATAAATAGAGGCGAGAAGGAGGAGACACCAAGGGCCAGCCACCCGGCCACACAACTAGCCATGGAATAAGAAAGGAAGAAAAATTTCTAGAATAGAAAGGTAAACAGCTCAGTTCGCTCTCTGCCTCATACTTGTAGCGGAGGATGTGATCTCCAGCTGCCTTGGCTGCCTGCTGCTATACCTCCATACCATGATGGCTTCTTATCCCTCCAGCACAGCAAGCCAAAGGAAATATCCCGTCTATAAAACTGCTTTGGTGTGATGAAAATCACAGCAAAAGAAAGGAACTAATAACACCTTCCCAAATTTCAACTAGGTTTGCAACTTAAGTTTAAGCCCTTATTAAAAAATAAACCCAGCCCTCCAGTCTCATTGTGTCTCCAAATTGGGACAATAAATATTAATATATTTTTAATACTAATGCTAAATGTCTAAGCAAAGAGAAGTTTTATCAATAAGAGGGAAGTCTTTACAATGAAACGATAATTACTCAATTTATTGGAAACATACATCCAATCAAATTTATCACATACTGGCCTGCATTATATGAGGATTCAATAACAGAGTGGGTGGGGGGAGATCAAACACATCCTGAAAGGCTTCAACAAAAGGACATTATTCTTCTCACAGTCCTGGAAGCCAGAAGTCCAATATCAGGGTGTTGAGAGATCTGGTTTCTTCTATGCTCTTCTTGGCTTGCAGATGGCTGCCTTCTTGCCATCGCTCTACTTGGCTTTCCTGTATTCTAGCATCTTTGCTGTCTCTTTCTCTATAGGGCACCAAGATCCTTTGGTATTAGGGCTAGCCTTATGATTCCTATTGTATTAGGGCTAGCCTTCTGATTCAATTAATCTTAATCATCTCTTTAAGTGTTCTGTTTCCAAATACAGCCACAGTGGGAGCGTGGATGTTAGGGCTTCAATATAAGCATAAGACTTGGGAAAAATTCAGTCCATGGTATCACCATTTTCTAAGTTCTCTAGAACAGACTGTGCCACCCAGGATTTATAGGAGACATGAATTCAATAACGGGAAACTTCGTAGGAAAGCACAGAAATATTCAAATAGTAACATGAGCTATTTAGGAAGAGAGAGAAAGGAGGCTGCATTGCCTAATGACTTGCTTTTTCTTATCATTTCCACCCTGATTTCTTCAGTGCTCCTGTTAAAAACCCTGCCACTTCCTGGGGTTAGAGGTACCTGTGGCGTGCGTCTCCCAGCTGCAGGCTAAGTCACATTTGTTAGTGCGAGAGTCCATCCCCATCTACAGGGCATCTGATGCAAACTTAGGTGTGGCAGCTCCACTGTGATCCCATTTGGCTTTGAAGAAGCCCAGGTCAGCGGCTGCCCATGGCCCAGGAGTTCTACCTGTAATTGGAAACACGGACAATGTGCAAACGTTCCCAAAGACATCACCGCGACATTTCTAAGGGGTGACTGAACTTCTAAAGAGGTACTAGACCGAGGTCCATTTTTACCTTCAGTATTCACGTGTCATTTTACACCTTACTCCTGTTCCCATGTTACCCTCAGGAGGTAAACGCACATGTCCAGAGATTGGGAAAGGAGAATCGAGTGCCAGAGCGGGGGAAATGCTTGAAGAGAGGATGAGAGAGGAAATAATTGGGAGCCATTTGCCCAGTTCAGGCCTGCCCAGTTCTCACACACACTTTGAAATTAAGACTTCCTTCTCCTGGCCGGGCCCTACTGTCAGAGTTCCCAGCGACCTCCAATGGCCAGTAGCATATGAATTCAATCAAAGATAACAGTCTTGGTCTTATTCATACAAAGTGAATTCACAGAAGCAGTTCTGTACATACTCAAGGGTTATCTGAACCCTTTATCACATGGAACAATACAAAATAAAAGTGCTAAATTTTAATTGTATTAATTAATGCCATTCAAGGCGATGATAAAAAGGGTAGCTGCTGCCATATCCAGGTCCGGAATGTGCTTTAAGACTAGATTTAAAAACTATCTTTCCAAACGTCAACCTCCAGTGTGGGAAAGAAAATCGAGAATCGAGAGGTGACATAGGGAAAGTCATATGACTCCGTTCAAAGAGATTATCAGCTTCATGAGGGCCCGTGCACTCCATTGGGTCTGAGGACAGCCTTAAATGATAGAAAAACCCTAGCATCTTACTTTGATTCAGATGTGTTCTTGGTGTGGTGTCCGGGGGGAGCACTCAAAGTTCTATGAAAAATCCATTCTCAATGCCTGGCGTGAACTTGAACACCACAGAGTAACTATGAAAAACAATGCCTAATCTACATCATTCGTCGGGGAGGTGTTGTGGCTTGTAAATTCAGTTTTCTTAGATTTTCAAAAGATTATGGCTAAACAGTTGCCATTGTTGCACTGTCTAAGCTAATTTTAAAGTAAAATAGGATAATATTAGGTACAAGAGGATCACATGAAAGTTGTGTTCTCCTCTGCATGTTTTAGTCAGCAATTTAAAAGAATCGCGAAGATAAAATTCTTTCTTACCTCTGTTTCCCCCAGACTACCTACAGGTTGGCCAAGAAACAGCTTTCCTGAGATGGGCCACTTAAGAAAAATAGCGTAGACTATTTTTTTCTCTGGTTTAGTTGTGTACCTGGTTAGAAAAAACAAGCAAACAGCATAGTTAATAAGTTATACCCCATGTTTCTCCTTATTTATGGATTATGTCTGGAATTGTTTTACATATATTTGACAATGTGATCACTAGTAATATAAAAAGTCTTACTTTACCCCCGTGGTATATAAAACGTGCCACCCTTTTCCAGGCCTCCAATATTAAAGGAAGTTGACTTTTACTCTGTTTTATAACAGGGTCTTTTATTTATTTACTTACTTTTGGTTTTTCGAGACAAGGTTACTCTGGGTAGCCCTGGCTGTCCTGGAATTCACTCTGTAGACCAGACTAGTTTTTTTTTTTTTTTCCCAGACTAGTTTTGAATCTAGAGCTCCACCTACCACTGCCCCCCAAGTGCTGGGATTAAAGGAGTCTGTAGCTAAGACTAGCCTCGCCCGCCTCTTCAGTGTTGGCATTACAGGCATGCTGCCACACGTGGCTGAATGGAAGTTCTGGGGAGGGGCTTCATGAGTTACTACTATCCCTATCCAAACTGCTCACATGGAAGTGAAAATGGAGTATGGAGAGAAGCTAACTGGAGCTGCATGACTTGACTCCCGCTGACTCAAAGTTTCAGGGCTATGTAGTGTGCTCTCTCTTAGGGATGCTACAGAGAGCCAAACACTGTTCTTGTTTTCATGTGTCTTAGGCTAGAGTGGAAAAGGCAGTCAATCCTATAAGTAAGAAAGTGTAAGTTTTGAATCACAATATAAAAAAAACATAACAATGTAATAAAGGGTGTCTTACTTAGGGTATCTATTGCTGTGAAGAGATACCATGACTACAGAAACTCTTACAAAGGAAACTATTTTAGTTGGGGCTGGACCATAGGTTCAGAGGTTTAGTTCTTTATCATCTTGGCTGCACATGGTGGAATGAAAGCAGACATGGTGCTGGAGAAGGAGCTGAGAGTTCTACATCTTGATCCACAGACAGCAGAACCAACTGTGGTACTAGGCTTAGCTTGAGCATAGGAGACCTCAAAGCCCACTCCCACAGTAACATGCTTCCTCCAGCAAGGCCATACCTTCTAATCGTATACTTCCTACGGGGCCATTTTCTTTCAAACCACCACAAAGGGACAGCAGATGGCTTCTTTACCAAGAAAACCACATTTAACCTGAGAGTCATATCATAAATAAGAACAGTAGAAACGATAAGAGGAATTCACTCTAGACAAACATACAGTCAGTGTTCACCCAATTTCTCACCAAAGTATTTATAGAAATCTTTAAACAGCCGGGCGGGCGATGGTGGCGCACGCCTTTAATCCCAGCACTAGGGAGGCAGAGGCAGGTGGATCTCTGTGAGTTCGAGACCAGCCTGGTCTACAGAACTAGTTCCAGGACAGGCTCCAAAGCCACAGAGAAACCCTGTCTCGAAAAANAAAAAAAAAAAAAAAAAAAAAAAAAAAGAAATCTTTAAACAGTCCCCAGAGTTGTAAGGACATAGGCATGGGAGTACATGGCTTTAATTCCTGTCTAGGTGAGGGTTTCTAATGCTGTGTCAAAACACCACGACCAAAAAATAAATAAATAAATAAATAAAAATAACCTGGGGAGGAAAGGGTTTGTTTGGCTTACACTTCCACATAGCTGTTTATCACCAAAGAAAGTCAGGACAAGAACTCAAGCAGGGCAGGAACCTGGAAGCAGGAGCTGATGCAGAGGCCATGGAGGATGCTGCTTACTGGCTTGCCCATCTTGCTTTTTTTTATAGAACCCAGAACCACCAGCCCAGGGATGGCTCCACCCACCATGGACTGGGCCCTCCCCCATTGATCACTCTCATATATAAGACATATGAGAAAATGCCTTACAGTGGGATCTCATGGAGGCATTTCCTCAGCTGAGGCTCCTTCCTCTCCAAGGACTCTAGCTTTTTTCAAGTTGACACCCAAAATCAGTCAGTACAATACCTGCACTTGGGCAGATCTCTGAGAGTTCCAGACTAGCCAGGACTACATGCAGAAAGACAAGGCCTACTGGTGTTAGAAAAGTAGGCCTCAGGTGCAGCACTGAGCAGAATAGGCAGGGACAATCCCTCTGAGTCGGCAGCCATGAAACCCAAAGAACATGAAGCTCCACGCAAGCATGTGGGAAAGTCTTCCAGGCTAAGAAACAAGCACAAAAGCTACAGAGTGTGCTTGGCTTGCAGATACAGCAGCAAGAGTCCAGGGATGGGGGATAGGATGGGGAGGTGGGGGGAGCCAGGGTAAGCAGACCGGATTGCATAAGGCCAAGGAGACTTCTGTAAACCCTTACTTCTCCCTTGAGACTGGAAACCTTGGAAGAATTTGGGTATGGAAATACTCTAAGCCAGGCATGACATCAGCCTGGGTTACATCATGAAATGCTGACTAAATAAATAAATCATAAATCCATGGCTTTCTCTGATTGCTCTCTGGAGACTGCATTAAAAGGACCAGGGTGAAGGCCTGGGAGAGGGTTCAGCTAGGATAAGTGCTTGCCTCACAAGTGTGAGGACTTGAGTTTCAACCCCCAGATCCCACATCAAAATCGGAACGCAGCGGTACATCTCTAACGTCAATGATGGCAAGAAGAAGACCTGGAAACGTGTGGGTCAGCTGGCTGGGTCTCTGTGGTGAAGTTCCAGCCCTGTAAGAAAGAGAAGCTGGCTCAAGCAAAAGGTGGGAAGAGTCTGAGGACTGAGACCAAAGGTTGTCCTCTGTTGGAATCATGCATGCTGTGCATTTTTGTACATTGTACCCACAAGTACCCACATGTCCTGAACTCCACCCCCAACCAAAGGAGTAAGAAAACAAAGGATAGGGCAGAAAGAGGATCAGTCAAGAAGGCACTGAAATAATCCACGGGTGAGGCAGTGGAGAGCCACATATGAACCACCACAGAGAGGAGATGTGGCCAGAATCTATTCGCACTTCAGAAGTATAAACAAGAGATCTGATGATGAATTGGCTGTTGTGGCTGTCAAATGAAAATGGCTTCCATCAACTCACAGAGCACTATTGGGAGGTGTGTGACCTAATTGGAGTAGGTATGGCCTTGTTGGAAGAACTAACACAAAAGTCGGTATGAGGGCCTGGGGTATTGCTGTGATAGCCTGGACTATGCTTCTGTTTGGAGGAATATGGACTTTGAGACTGGGTTAGAAAAGCAGTTTACCTTGGAAGTGGGGCTCAATGGGTCACACTAGTGAGGAGCATGAGAGACAGTGGTGCTCAGGGTTATTTGAACTGGGGGACCAAGCTCAAGGTGTTTCTAAGGAGCATTTTAGTATGTGACCTAGAGACTGTTCTTTTTTTTTTTTTTTTTTGGATTTTCGAGACAGGGTTTCTCCGTAGCTTTTGGTTCCTGTCCTGGAACTAGCTCTTGTAGACCAGGCTGACCTCGAACTCACAGAGATCCGCCTGCCTCTGCCTCCCTAGTACTGGGATTAAAGGCGTGCGCCACCACCGCCTGGCGAGACTGTTCTTGTGATATTTTATGAAGAGTGTGGCTGCTGTCTGCCCTGCCCCCTCTCCCTCAAATATCTGCCTGAGGATAAACTTAAGAGTTACGGATTAACAGTTTTGGCAGAAGAGATTTCAAAATAGTCTAGCATTGACCGTGTCATGTGATTATTCGTGGCCTCGCTTATGAAGATCTATATTGAAAAGGAGCAAGCTGAGCAAAAATACAAAATGTACTGTTTGCGAAGAGGGGCCCCAGTAACTTAATGCAGCTAAATCCCGTGTTCAGGGAGACAGAAAAACTACAGAAAAGCCTGATGCTAGACGGGATGAAGGGAGTGGTGCCCTAAGGGCAAGAACCCCCCCCACCAAGTTAAGCTTCCAATTTGTAAAAAGGAATTAAAGAAAACTTAGGGCCCTATAAAGTGGTACAAGCCTTTAATCTCAGGTCTAGGGAGACAGATGCAGGCAGATTTCAGAGTTCAAGGCCAACATGGTCTACAGAGCAAGTTCCAGGGCAGCCAAGCTTAAACAGTGAAAGAAACCCTCTCCAACATATTGAGGTCTCCAAGGCAATCTAGACTTCTCCTTCACAGCTTTGCACAATGGCCTCTCTTTAGACCCCCATGCAGTGACGCCCCTGCCACATGCCTGGCCTCAGCATCTTTCATCAATCACAGAGGGAGAGTCCACAACCCCTTTCTTTTATCCTCGACTCCAAAGCTAGAACCACATGCCAAAGCTGCCAAGTTCTGCTGAGGCTGGAACATGGCCCCTCGTTCAAGTACATTTTCATCTGCTTTCTGTCTCCACATCTAAAGAAAGCAGCTGAGGACACACATATTGGCAGGGAGTCCCTGCATGGAGGCCCAGAGAGGTGTGTCCTAGATTGCCTTGGAGAGCACTTTGACATTAGACAGCAGATGCAGAGTCTGCAGTTTGCCCTGGTCGTTTTTGGTCTTGTTTCAGTCCAGTATTTCCTCACTTGCGTTTGAACAGTAATGTATATATCCTATGCTACTATTTGTTGGAGGTAGTTAAAGCTTTTTGACTTTGAATTTATAGAGAGACTTTGAATTACAGTTAAGAGAGATGGCCATGAGTCTCAGAAGAGACTGGACCTTCAAACAGAGTTGAGACTGGGATAGAGTATGGATGGGGACTTTTGAAGTTGGACTGAATGTAGCTTTGCATTACGATGTGTGGCTACAAGCCTACAAGGGTCAGAGAATGGAATGTGGTGGTTTGAATGAAAATAGTTCCTATAAAATCATAGGGAGTGGCATTATTCAAGCGGTGTGGTGTTCTTGGAGGACTTGTGTCACTGGTGGTTGGCTTTGAGGTGTCAAATGTTTAAGCCAGGCCCAGTGTCTCTCTCTCTCTTGCTGCTAACCTGTATGTAAAACTCTCAACTATGTCTCCAGCATCATGTTTGCCTGCACACCATTGTATCCCACCGTGATAATAACGGACTAAACTTCTGAACCTGTAGGCCAGCCCCAGTTAAATGTTTTCCTTTAGAAGAGTTGCTGTGGTCACGGAGTCTCTTCACAGCCATAGAAAGCCTAACTAAGACATCTGTGGCTATCGATGAAAGGTGGAGAACTGTCACCAAATGTCAGTTGGGGAACTAAGATAAAGAAATTTGGAAGCCCAAGGACACTTCAAGATTTACCGATTGGGAAGGTTAAGTACAGGAGACTAACAAGGAACAGCCAATGAGTCTGAATCTCTGAGGCAAATCCTGCTGGTAATTTCAGAAACGGAGCACCAGCCACTGGGCCAGCAAGGGAGAGAGAGCACTTGCAGTCTTGACAAAAGCCATCTGAGGAAGAGCAGGATGAAAGTCCGAACTGAGAGAGCTCAACAGGAAGAGAACAGAGCTCCAACTAGAAACAACCACTAAAAACTGTTCTGTAAGCTATTTTATTACGAATGAAAGGAGAGAACGGGAAGGCAGCTGGAGATGAAGGCGAACTTTTAAAGATAAAATAAATAACATGTCTGTATGTGGGCAGGAAAGGAACTAAGAAGGGGAGCCTGGAAATGAGGCGTGGAAATACAAACTGTGCTATGGCCTTGCCTGGAGGATCTGGGATGTGAGGGAGAAAACAAGGCTGGGCTTAAAGTCAAATGTGAGCTAATTTGACATTGTATGTATGTGACCAATAGTTCAGGGGGCAGCCTCAGAAGGGATGGCTGGAGGGAGCTAGAGGCAGGCTTCTGTCATAGGAGTATAAGAGAGAGAAGGAGGGCTCAGGAGTTAGGATACAGATGATGAATTACCTGAGCAGCAGGCCACACTATACCCTGTAAACAATTCCCCATTCTCTCCTACCCTAGCTCCTGTCTCCATGATTTTGATTACTCTAAGTAGCTCATAAATAATATTTGCCTCTTTGTGACTTGGTCTTTTCACTTGACACAAACTCCTGAAAATTCATCTGCGTTTTAGCATTTCTTTCCTTTCCAAAGCTGAATAACATACAAATACCGCAGCGTGTGTACACACTTAACTTGACCATGAATGGACCCCATTGCTCTTACGTGTCAGTTTCTGGAAATATAGTTCTTCTGGTATCATTCTTTTGCATATCTACTCAGAAGTGGAACTACAGGGTAGTGGTGTATTCCTGTCTCTAACGTTTTGAGGGGCTGACATATTGTCTACATACTAGCTGTGGTTTTGTGTTCTCACATCACTGTAGTATACAGGAATTCCAGTCTCTTCAAGATCATCAGCTGTACCTTAAAAAATAGGAGCCCCGAGGTACAGGCCCAAGCAGGCACAGAAAGCTTCTGTGCACTGGGAACATCCTCCCCACCCCATTACTCAGCAGAAAGTGACAGGGAATGTGGGCTCTCATGGCTCTGCCTTGCCATCAGAGGACTTCAGTATCCCAGGCTGGGCCACCCTTTTCACTTGCACTAAATGCACTAACAGACCTTCAGCCTCCAACCTGCCACAGTATAAGCCTAACAAGCGACAGATTGTCTTTGTTCCAGGAGAAGCTAGGCAAGCCCACAATCTGTTCTGGTCCAACCTTTCTCGCTCCTGCCCCAAGCCAAGGTGTCACCTGTAGAGACTTTTATAAAAAAAGAGTTGGGACTTCGGACTGGACTGTTTCAGCTGGTTTCAGGCAATTTCCAAAGGTGGTGAGCCTTGCCATGCCCTCCCTCTTTGGAAAAGCCAGCAACAGTGCAAGGTGCTGCCCCGGGCTGTTGGTTAGACACAGGGGACTTCAAGAAGGGGGAGGGTGAAACAGGGCCTTCCCTGGTGAGTTGTCACGGGGTTGGTGGTGACTCTTGTTTGGAATTATTATTTTGTTATTATTTTTTACAATTTAAATAGAAGCGTCAAAAAATAGAAGTGTCTATCTGGAAAAAATAAAAGAAAAACATAGTAGCTATTCTAAGTCTGGTGGTGGCGGTGCACGCCTTTCATCACAGCACGTGAGAGGCAAAGGCAGAGTTCGAGGACAGCCTGGTCTACAGAGAGAAACAAGCCCTGTCTCAAATGGTAGAATAAGAAGTACCAACTAGAGACACTAGCTGTGATGGCCAGATTTGTATGCTAGTGGGTGAGCATCAGAAATGATACTCACATTAAGTCCGTTAGGTAAAATGTAAATGAAACTCAACCAGAAATCATCTCACATTCTTTAGAAAAGCTATTCTTTTGTTTGTTTTTTTGAGACAGGGATTTTACTAATTTTAATTTACTGTTGGCTTTGCCCTTGGTTATACCTTGCTTGCTTGCTAATTTCATGGGATTTAATATCTGAAAACTAGAGGCTTAAAAAACTTACTAGTGATTAAACATTAGTCTGTTATACATCAACCATTCGGTGTTCTTTTTTTTTTTTTTTTTTTTTTTTTTTTTTTTTTTGGTTTTTCAAGACAGGGTTTCTCTGTGGTTTTAGAGCCTATCCTGGAACTAGCTCTTGTAGACCAGGTTGGTCTTGAACTCACAGAGATCCACCTGCCTCTGCCTCCCAAGTGCTGGGATTAAAGGCATGCGCCACCACCGCCCGGCTTGGTGTTCTTTTCTTATCTAAACGTCTTCCAATTTTGTAAGCGTCAATTTAGCTAAACATTGCCCACCATTAGGGGATATCTAGGTATGATTTAAGCAGAATTTAATAAGCATAATGTTCAATGACACTCTTATTCTTATCCCTTCTCTTTGTATTTGAGTCATGGTGGAACATGTGTGGTACAGGTAGCAGCCACTAAGTCTCTCTCTCTCTCTCTGTGTGTGTGTGTGTGTGTGTGTGTAGCTCAGATAGTAAGCGCTTTCCTCTATCCAAACAGCACCTGTCAATCAGGAAAACTTACCACACATCTGGAGTGGCTGTGTCATTCTGAGCTCTCCAAGGGTGTGTTTCATAAATAGCCTCCCCGTTGACTTTGAGCCACTCTCCCATCTGCCGTAATCGCTCCTCAAAAATTACAGGGATGATGCCATCTAGTGTGGGACCGATATTCATCAAAAGATTTCCTCCACACGCGACTGTTTGCACAAGTTGCTAAAAGAAAAATAAGTGAAGAACAAATATAGTTTGAGATAGAAAAAAAATAACTCATCTCCCGTGTGTCTATCCATATATATGTATATATATATATTTATGTATATATACACACACATACATATATATTAAATCACTTCATAGAAACAAACACAGAGAATAATGTCCTGAGTCTGTTACACTATACTATCCCAATCATAAGAAAAAAAATCCTTGTCACATCTCATCATTAAGAACATTCCAGAGTCATAGCCCCCACAACATATTTTACTTTACCTTCACCAATTCTTCAATTGTAAGATAATCACCGATTCCAGCTTCCCGCCTGTAGCCCCAGGAGAACTGATCTATTGTCATGCAGTTCTCCCATTTATGGGGCAGAAGATGTCCGGGATTATAACGGTCGCTGCAGGTATAGTAGCCGCCATGCTGGCAGATGGAACCAGCTCCCCAGCGGTCATTGGTGACTACCGTGTTCCGAACTGGGCTGAAATGAAAAGTAGAGTTTCTCTTCAAGAAAAAAACACTCTTGAAACAAAAGGAAATGTCACGCCAAATAGATCTTCTTTACATCCACTCCCAGCAAATGACCATGAGAAGTCAGAAAGCCTCTGTGTCTGAGGCCAACCACAGCTGTGGTGACTGGAGAACTGACTCTCACATTCCAGCTTCCAGGCCTAAAGCAAATTCCTCTGAAGAATGAATTCCTTCACTGTTGTTACAATGCAGATAACAGGCATATAATCCAGAGTCCAGTGAGGAGGATGCGCAGGAGAGCGCTGTATAGACACTGTATAGAGCTCTGTATAGACACTGTATAGACACTGTATAGAGCTCTGTATAGAGCTCTGTATAGACACTGTATAGAGCGCTGTATAAACACTGTATAGAGCGCTGTATAGACACTGTATAGAGCGCTGTATAGAGCACTGTATAGACACTGTATAGAGCACTGTATAGACACCGTATAGACACTGTATAGAGCGCTGTATAGACACTGTATAGAGCACTGTATAGACACCGTATAGACACTGTATAGAGCGCTGTACAGACACTGTATAGAGCATTGTATAGACAATGTATAGAGCGCTGTATAGACACTGTATAGACACTGTATAGAGCGCTGTACAGACACTGTATAGAGCATTGTATAGACAATGTATAGAGCGCTGTATAGACACTGTATGGAGCACTGTATAGCACCGAGGTTCCCATTCTCTTGCTATGAATGGTAGACTAAGCTCAATCTATACTCCAGACCAGGTTTCTCCCCCAAGACTAAATAGCCTTAGACATCCTAGCCTTTCTCTTATGCTTTGTGCCTACTACTGGAAAATCTCTGAAAAATTGAGTGTTGACGTCACGTGAAATATAATCCCCAAATTTCTTTTGTGTGGTGGATCAAGTAGAAAGAACAGGCAGGGCTCCACTCACGAGGCAGTTTGACTCCCAAATAGAAGGGGATGGTCCCAATCGTTTCTCAATGATGATTTTTTTTTAATTGATTACAAAACCAGTTTGGTTGTATTTGACTCCTGACTTCTTTATTTCTGATTGCTAAAACTGACCGAGCTAATAAACATTGTTTATAATGATTTCTTCCACCCACACCACAAATGTGCACAAAACCACAGAAAGCTAAATGCTTATATCTCCTTTAGGGGTGTCTGAGGCGAGTCCAAGTGCATAAAAGGGTACAGACCTTTCATTGTACAGCCAGGCTAAGAAGCCAGTACTGTTCCAGTAGTGATCTGGTGCGCCCCCATCTCCATCCGCCCACAGAACGTCGGGCTGGTACTTATTCACCAACTCATAGAGCTCAGGCAACGTCTTAGAAGTGGGAAAGTGCCGCTTCTCGAACACACTGGCCTCATCCTCCAGGAAGAGCGGGTGGAACCATTCAAACAGGGAGTAGTACAGTCCAAAGCGCAAGGCCGTGTTGTTCCTGACGGCCACCTCAAGTTCCTTGACGATGTCCCTCTTCGGCCCCTCATCAACGGCATTCCAGTTCCAGGAATACTTTGAACCCCACAAGGTAAAGCCTGGAAAATGAGAGCAGGAAACCCCTGGGAGCATTATCACCTTAACCTTAATAAATTTCATCCCATGAAACAATTCAAATGGCACACATAATTCACGGTTTCTCCAAATGACCATCCCTTGGCAGACTTTGCAGTCTGTCTGGTACTCATCTAAACAAACAGAGGAGAACATAAATAATGTGGGATTGCTGTTTTCAAAGCAATTTTCAGGGTGCACTGTAAAAGCTCTACACTCTGTCTCCAGTTACAGAATCTGAGGTTCTTGGGGAACAGCACGGTGTCATGGTGTCCGTAGTGGTTTCAGCTACACACTCCTGCCAACTGTTAGCACAACATCTAATGCAATATATATAATCAATAGTAGTGGATGGTCTCTAGTAGAGACACGCATTATCACAGAACAATCATTTTCACTATTTGGAATGAAGACCCAGATGTATCTTCTGTGGGATTTGCGTGTGTCTTCTGAATCGATGGGGAAGCTCTGTTGCTTGGATGGATGACATTACAGCATGAATCTCAGAATACTGGCGAGGACAGGAAGCAAACCTCTGGCGTTTGACAATTAATTTACATGGATAGTGGGAAGATATGCTATATCTAGCAATTCGGCACTTCTGACCTCCCTCAGCTTACTCTAAAGCCATGAATGGGGTTAAAGTGCCCCCAAATGACTTTTCTAACAACTAAAAGGGTATGAAAAATAACACGCAGTGTAACAGTCTGAAATGTCTGAAATAATTCACACTTCAACAGGAACTGTCATCTAGACTGATCACCATTCTGTATAAAATATTAGAAGAGATATCTAAACTGGGATGCTGAAGAAATGGCATAAAACACTCAGAAATTTTAGCTCATGCCTTAAGAGCTTTGTTTTTGTCTCACTCACGTCTTAAAGCATCTTGAAGGACAGACTTCCTTTGCAAGACGCCTTTGCCCTTCAGTTCACTATTCTGTCAGGACGAGCCTGAGAAAGGACTCTGTAAATTCAGTCCCCGAACTGTTTGCGCTTTCTCTAAGGATGTCTGTGGGAAGCTTGAAGTCAGTGTTTAAGGTCTGCCTAAACAATGTCAGCATGGGTCCTTGAACCCGAACACATACTGTCTGCATCCTGTTCTCATAGTCTAAAGCAGTGGCCCTCAAGCTGAGAGTCATGGCCCCTCTGGGGAGTAGAATGAGCCTTATATGGGAGTTGCCTAAGACCATTAAAAAAAAAACAGATATTTACATTATGATTCATGGCAGTAGCAAAATTACAGTTATGAAAATAATTTTAATGGCTGGGGTCGCCACAACATGAGGAACTGTGTTAAAGGGTCACAGCATTAGGAAGGTTGAGAACCACTAGTCGAAAGGTATTTAGGCTTTCTTTCCTTTTCTTTTTTTTTTTTTTTGGTTTTTTTCTTTTTTTTTGGTATTTTGAGTCAGGGTTTCTCTCTGGAACTAGCTCTTGTTAGGCCTCGAACTCACAAAGATGTACTTGCCTCTGCCTCCAAAGTGCCGGAATTAAAGGCGTGCACTACCACCGCCCGGTGGTATTTGGGCTTTCTTTTCAATTAACTCACTTTGTGTCAGAAAGTTTGGGAAATCCCCTAAACAGCGAGAAAATGACACATTCCCATCAGGAGAAACATCTAGAGGAAGAAATTGCGCAGCTACCTGACTGTGGCCGAAGGGGAAAATATTGAAGATAAATAACCGCAGACTTTGGGTTCATCACATCTGCCTCCTTCCCACCCCTGCAGAACATAATAAGGCTGCTTTTCAAGATAAAGAAGACTGTGTAAAATAAGCTACTTTGTGCATTAACAGGAGTGTGGGACATTAGCCGGTGCTTCCCTGGTCTTCAGGACACTGAGTGGTTGCAGCAAATTGATTCACAACTCCTGTGTTACCTTTTATTCTTTTGGTATTTCTGGGCACTATTATAAAACTAACTCTTTTCCCTCGAGGTCTCTCTCTTTCTATCACTAACAGCAAACCCAGTGTCGGCCCAAAGTACAAGTCAATTGTGTGTGGAGTCAAGACTAAGGCAGCATAAGCCCCAGGAAGGTTTTACAGAATGCATTAAAGAAGAGAAAGGGAACTCAGCGGTGGTGGTGCACGCCTTTAATCCCAGGACTTGGGAGGCAGGCAGAAGCAAGCGATCTCTGAGTTCAAGGCCAGCCTGGTCTACAGGAGTCCCAGGACAGCCAGGGCTACACAGAGAAACCCTGTCTCCAAACAAAACAAAGCAAAACAAAAGAAGAGTGTGACTTTAGTTGTAAACTTGACTGGCTGCACTCATTCTCTTCAAAGAGCTTTAAATAAATCTGATTATTTATTTAAATGGTGAAATGGGCACATAAAAACCTGTGCTCGCCGGGCGGTGGTGGCGCACGCCTTTAACCCCAGCACTCGGGAGGCGGAGGCAGGCGGATCTCTGTGAGTTCGAGGCCAGCCTGGTCTACAAGAGCTAGTTCCAGGACAGGCTCCAAAGCCACAGAGAAACCCCGTCTCGAAAAACCAAAACAAACAAACAAACAAAAACCTGTGCTCATTTTCCCTGCATTCTATGGACTAGCTGTCTGGATGCATCATGCTTTCCAACTGAAGTGGGATAGGTGATCCTTAAACTGTAAGCGGCACTCAACATCTATCTACCTGTGATTCTTTACTTTAATGTCTCCGCCCAAAAAAAAAAAAGGGCCTCACATTCCCAAACCATGGTTAGCAGATGTTGTATGTGCTCTGCTTACCTTCGTGATGTTTGGAAGTTAAGACAACATATTTGGCACCAGAGGCCTGGAGAATATCTGCCCAGTGGTTGGCGTTGAAATACTTGGCTGTGAACTGTACTCCAAAATCTTCATATCTGAAACCAGGGGGGTAATTATTGTTCATAAAATCCACAAACTTGGGTCTCTTTTCCTTTTGCCAATACCACCTGTGAGAGGGAAAGAAAGAGCACATAGATAAATGAGTGAAGGAAATGCCTGGGCTCACCCCGTGGCAGCTCACCCCCCAACACACAGATTATGATGACAGGTTCTCTGTCATCTCTTTACCAGTGTGACTTTGCATTGAGGGCAGCTTATGCAAACCAATATTCTCGCCTCGTTCCCCATCTTGTCCTCTGGTTATCCAGCCATTGGTTCTCCTAATTCTTCACTTGAGTCATATGACATAATATTTCCCTTCATACATTAGCTCACTGGAACATAATCAGCTAAGATTTCAAGGCAAGACATCAGGCCTAAAACATAACATGCGTCTACCATATTCATTACCAGAAAACATTTTGGGGAGACGGGGAAAGCAGTTCCATAGGCTGAGCAAACCCACAATCAGCACTGCCTCCCCAAAGTGGGAGAGCAGCTTTGTGTGGCTGAGACTACTCAAAGGACTTCGCAGACCGCAGCAGCATGTCCTGTGCCTGGCCCAAAGGCATACACAAACTTCACGAGCATCCATCACAGCGACCCATGCTGGCTAGTGGATCAGACAGATTCTAGGATTTCCTTCTTTGTTGTTTTTGTTTTATGGGGCAAGGTTTCTCTGTGTAATCCTGACTGTCCTGGAATTAGTTCTGTAGACCAGGCTGGCCTCAAACTCAGAGATCTGCCTACTTCTGCCTCCCAAGTACAGGGACTAAAGTTGTGAGCCACCTGGCGATTCTGGGAACTTTTTTTTCTTTATTCTTTTTTTCTTTTTGGTTTTTCGAGACAGGGTTTCTCTAATAGCCCTAGCTGTCCAGGAACTAGCTTTTGTAGACCAGGCTGGCCTTGAACTCTGGAGTGTTGGGATTAAAGGCTTGCACCACCATCGCCCGGCGTTTCTGGGGATTTCTAATAAAGAAAGAAACTGGTTAAAGGAGTTAATGCCCATCTACCATCATGTGACTTTGAAGATAAGGTGATGTAATGCACCTCTATTATTACCCCTTTATTTGCTTTGTGGTTTTGTTGCTTTAGCATGCAAAGATCTTAATTTCATCCCTGATCCATGAAGCACTTGTTTTTATTAAAAGATTGTGTCTTATTTTTAATTACACGTTCGTGAGTCTCCCAGTGCGGGTGCTAAGCACCAAACTCTGGTCCTCTACAAGAGCAGTATGTGACTTTAACCGCTGAGCAATCTCTCCAGCCCCTTTGAAGCATTTTTTTTTTTAATTCTCAGACTGGCACTACCCTATGCACACAGGCACAGCCAGGCCCACCTACAGTGTGCCTAGGAACTCGGGGGAAGCAAATATATTCCATGCCAATACACCCAGTCAAGAAACTATGTATTCAACATCTGGAATTGCAAACCGACCCACGACCAAAACAGTGACAAGCAGGCAGCACTCAACGCCAGGTGGACTGGCTACTGACTGCCATTGCCTAGGTGGACACAAAGAACAGGGTGTGTGTTGGGCAGGGGTATGCACTTACCAGAACCATTCACTACCGAAGCTGGGCACGGAGAACACTCCCCAGTGGATGAAGATGCCGAACTTGGCCTGGTCGAACCAGGAGGGCAGAGGGCGGCTGTCCAGAGACTCCCACGTGGGGTCGTACCGCGGGGGACTCGTGGTCCTGCATTGTGACAGGAGCGGTAGCAGCTGCAGGAGCGGCAGCAGGAGTGCCAGGCGCACGCGCATTAGCATGGGGGAACCTCTGGGACCCGCGTGACACCAGGACAGCCCCTGACTTTCTTTGCCTCCGTCGGAGGCTGGCGTAGCACTTCCCGGTCTTCCGTCTTCTGTCAAATGTGCTCCGCCCCTGTCACCTGACCAAGACCAGAATGGTCAGATGACTGACGGTTGTGGGCACCGGGGAGTTGGGCGTGGCTGGGTCTGGTGAATTTTGATTGCCTAAGGACCCCCGAGAAGGTTGCCTCACTCAGGTGCACTACTAAGGAAGTCCGTTACTAGCCAGCCATGGCATTTTACCGGCCCTGGTTCTGTTTCCCAGCCAGACCTGATCTGCTTAGCCAAGACTCCGGGTGTGTCTGCTGTGAGACAAAAAAAAAAAAAAAAAAAACCCGAGGGTGATCTTTGATCCGTGTCTCTGACCTCCCTCCCTCGGGAGGGAGGGGAAAGAATCTTACTGAAATCTCTCAAGAGGTCAGCGAGACCGCTCGGTCCTGAAGGCTGCAGAGCTGTCCGAGCTGTGTGCCCCACTGTGGGCTTGGAGCCTGAAACAGGAACCCCGTGGGCTACCCCTCTTGGCTCAGAACTTTTGAAACAACCCCTAGGGCTCCCAGTTTCTGAATCTGCCTCTGCCTGGCTTGAATTTGCAGATGAAATCCCAAGTTTTGGGTTCAGTCAGTCTGGATTGGGGTCCAGGAACTGGCATTTCTACTCGGAATCTTGATAGTTCTGATTTTGCTGATTGGTGGAACAAACTTTTCTGAGAAACTGCATTGGAAAACAAGGCCACCTGAGTAGAAAGAATCTTTTAAGAAATTTACATACAAGGAGGGGCCAGGGACCTGCTTGGTTGGCTGAGGACTTGCCTAGCATTGCAGGAAGCCCTGGGTTCCATCCCCTGCACATAGTGAAACCGCAGTGGTAGTAACCACAGCAGTATGGAAGGGGGAAACAGGAGGATGAGGGTTCAAGGTCGTCTTTGACCAAGTCCAGAGCTACCTGAGACCCCCTCTCAAAAACGAGGGAGGGAGGGAGGGAGGGAGGAAGAAAGGAAAGAAGGGAGGGCGGGGAATAAGGAGCAAAGAATGATAAATGTCCTAGGTGCAAGTAGGGTGGGGTGGGAGAGAAAGGAGAAAGAAAGAACCTGCTTGGAGACGAAGAAAGGAGCCAGACACTTATAATAATCTCCAAAGCACATCTTCAGGAACTCATAGCCCCGCGCTTTTTAAATGCCTCTGACCTAAAGCCAGAATCTCTGCTGGTGCTTCAGCAAAATCCCTATCCTACTCAGCTCATTTCCAATGTCACCTCTTCCAGGAAGCTTTTTTGTCATCCCTCCCATAGCATCCTATTCCCCCTGTGTGCCCCCAGACACCTTATCCTGGCCACTAACACAGGCATCCACTGGTGATTTTAGAGCTGGGCAGCTAGAGCTTGCATTTCTCTCAGGCGGTGAATGTCTTAAGGACATCCAGGGGGATTTGCCTGGTGCTGTGCCTTCAGGAGCTGCAGAGTCTGGCATTGCGCAACACTTGGAATGTGTTTTTCTGGAGTTCCTCAGTGGACTGGAGTTCTCCTTACTGAGCAAACAGAGAAGGAAGTGACACCAAGTAGCTGTGGCTTGTGGTTCCCTCTTCTGCACAGCTGGGAACAACTGATACCCCTGTCTCCACAAGCCTGGGGACACTGCTCCCCTCCATGCAATGCTGATGGCTCACCAGCAGCACCCCAGCTCCACCAGAAGAGACCCCGACAAAACCAGCTTACACAAAGAAAAGTTTACTTTGAACAGGAAGTGCCTGTTAAGGCAGTAAAGGCCTGATGGGGCCGGAATAAGGCTGTTGGTGGCATCGCATCCAAAGCCTGCAAGGGGACAGCAATGAGCACTGATGCTCAACTGGCTTTCTCCCTTTTCTTTTTCTCCCAGACCTCAGCCTATGGTATGGTGCCACCTACAGTTACTATGGTGTTTTGAATGAAAATGGCCCCCGTGGGCTCATATATTTGAATGCTTGGTCCACAGTTAGTGAAAGTGTTTGGGAAAGATTAGGAGGTGTGGCCTGGCTGAAGGAGATCTGTCGTTGGCGGTGGGCTTTGGCCATGCCGTTCCTAGTTAGCTCTCTCTTCCTCTGCCTCATGCTTGTGAATCAGAGTGAGCTTTCTGCTTCCGTCTACCGCTCCAGTGCTGTGCCTGCGTGCTGCCTGCTGCCATGTTCCCCACCGTGGTGGTCTTTGTCTTAGTTAGGGTTGTTACTGATGTCATGAAACACCATGACCAAAAAGCAAGTTGGAAGCAAGGAGCTTATTTGGCTTATACTTCCATATCACTGTTCGTCATCAAAGGAAGTCAGGACAGGAACTTAAGCAGGGCAGGCATGTGGATGCAGGAGCTTATGCAAAGGCCCTGGAGGAGTGCTGCTTACTGGCTTGCTCAACCTGCTTTCTTTTAAAACCCCCAGAACCACCAGCCCAGGGATGGCTCCACCCACAATGGACTAGGAGTCATCAATTACTAATTAAGAAAGTGCCTACAGCCCAATCTTATGGAGGCATTTCTTAACTGAGGTTTTCTCTTCTCAGATGACTTTGGCTTGTGTCAAGTGGACATAAAACTCTCCAACAGAGTTATGGACTCAAATCCTCTGGAATTGTGAACCCCCAGTTAAATGCCTTCTTTATAAACTACCTTGGTCATCCTTTATTATGAAGACAGAAAAGTCACTAAGACACCCACCTCTACAAAAGCTGACCCACAGATCTGCTCTGAGGTTTGTCTCCTGGGTGAGCCTAGACTCTATCCAATTGAAAATCAGCCTTAACCACTACGATTGAGCTCAAGGAATCTGGTGTGCTATGAACGATCACTGGTCCCAGTTTCACTCGAAAACCATGATAGCTGTTGGAATCTAGTCTTGAAACCCTGTCTTAGTCAGTGTTCTATTGCTATGACGAGACAACATGACCATAACAACGCTTCTAAAGGAAAACATTTAATTGGGGCTGGCGATCAATTCAGAGGCTTAGTCTATTATCATCATGGCAGGAAACATGGTGGCATGCAGGTAGACATGATGCTGGAGAGGGAGCTGAGAGTTCTACAACCAGATGGAACATGAGAGAGAGAGAGAGAGAGAGAGAGAGAGAGAGAGAGAGAGAGAGAGAGAGAGAGACTTGCTTAGTCTTTTAAAGCCCACCCCAGTGACACCCTTCCTCCAACAAGGCCACAGCCCCAGTAATACCACTCCCTATGTGTCTATGGGGTCTATTTCCAATCAATCCACCACACACCCCAAAAATGATCTAATCCCTCAGTGGCTGCTCATCCCCAAGGCTCCCTCAAACAAAACAACAGACTTTCTGACCACTGCCTGCATCCTACCTTTTTTCTAAGTGAAGTCTGTTCAGTGACTACAAAACAGCCTTCAGTTTTGTGCCATGTGCCAGGGAAGGCCCCGGAGATATTATTGTGCCGACTGCAGTATGGGAGTTCCAGGTGAACCCAGGTAGCAAAACAGTTCATCTTTTAATAATTATCTTAGCAGGTCTAAGTTACTTATATTTCCATGTATATTTCAATTTCAGACTGACCATCAGACCTGAGTTCCTGAAATGCCATTCAGGTCATTTATATCATTTCATAGGAATGCAAAGAAATGCTGAGTTAGTGCACACAATCTTATCCTGAAATTACAGTTTATAGGAGATTGTAAAAACCTCACAGCCCCCACTTAGCACCCTGGGAAATTCATGGGAGCCCTAGAATAGCAGGTTGGGATTACAGCCTAAGATCATAAGAAATGCCAAATAGTACTGGAAATGAAAAAGAAAAGAAACTGTACTGGGGGGAGGGGTGCTAAATGACAGAAAAAATGTAATCTGTGAGATGTTTGGAACATGGTCCCCGATGGAGAAGCCTACCTATAGTAGAGTCCATGCCTTCTTTTGAATGCTAAAGCTTTGCCAAGACATTGTACTTAGGGCCTCTGCTCCCTGAACAGTGGAGACAGGTCATAAGAGTTTCCCTCTGCACTTGCAGATGCCAAGGAGGATCAAGAGCTCTGAAAACACAAGAGCTCTGAAAACACCGGGTTTCTGCAGGTGTGCATGGCTCATTTAAAAAAAAACATTGGGGTGCCTTGGACCTCAGTGGGGAGCACACCTAAGGAGTCCTGAGGCGGCCTTGCTTGACTGATGTCACCTTGAGGTGCCAGGGGAATTAAGAATGAGGTCTTTGTCCCCACTTCAACAGATAAGGTCCCTCCAGGCAGCAGTAAGTGTTGACAGCTGTGAGTGCATCTGAGCGGTTGGAGGTGGGTGGGGGAGGGGCAGGTCTCCATAAACCTTGGTGGCTGCCAAGAGGAAGCAGTCCTGCCCCTTCCTTGAGGATGTCACCATCTGCTGAGGGTGACGCTGGCTGGCATTAGAGTGAAACTCTGGAGGACCCACTCTGGATTTGCGTGCATGAGCTGGATGGCAGCCACCAAGCAGTATCAGAACTGCTCTGAAAGAGGACAGCTGACATCAGCACACAGCCTCTCTCTCTCTCTCTCTCTCTCTCTCTCTCTCTCTCTCTCTCTCTCTCTCTCTCTCTCTCTCTCCTGAAGTGTGGGAGAAAAGCTCCAAGAACCAGCCAAGCCCTGGCCAGCAAATAACCCAGCAAGCGATGTGACAGAAAGAGGAGGAAAACCTTCCTTTTCCTGCTCCATGGGAAGGGAAACAAAGACTAGGAGGAATACAGGGAATAAACAAAAGAGACACAAAACAGGAGACGCACCCAGAACACAGAATGTGAGCAGCCAACCACTGAGATAGCAGACACTCTGACAGAGACGCCCGCCTGAAGTAGACGCCATCCCGTCTTTTGAGGGCTAATGCTTTGCCAAGCGAGTCTTTGTGCTTAGAGCCCCTGCTCCCTGAACAGTAGAACCAGAGGGTACAAGAGCATCTGCTCGGCTCCTGTAGATGCCAAAGAGGGCAAGAAAGCACAGATCCTCTTGTAACTGTGAGCTATATTATTATAGCTGTTAGAGAGGGAAAGACATCTTCGTCCTGGTTTCCATGGCAGCTGTAGGCTGATGGGCAAGTTTCATGAGGTCCGAGTCCCGTCAGACCCAGCACACTTGGCTTTTTAGATTTCCTGGCTTTGATATTTGAATGACATATACAGGACCCAGAAGTGTCTGGAAGCCTGGCAAGAAATCCGGCCTGAGTGGCTCCCTGTGGCAGGCTCTCTTTGCCAAAGACTGGTGTCCGCAGTCACAAGTCAGAGGATGTGGTGCTATTTTGTTTGTGCTGTAACAAATAA